TTTATCATAATATGTTATATAACAATAGCAGGGATAGCTAACAATGACAGGATATATAATAATGTTATATAACAATAGCAGGGGTAGCTACAATGTATATCATAATATGTTATATAACAATAGCAGGGGTAGCTAACAATGACAATGTATATGATAATATGTTATGTAACAATAGCAGGGGTAGCTAACAATGACAATGTATATGATAATATGTTATATAACAATAGCAGGGGTAGCTAACAATGACAGGGTATATGATAATATGTTATGTAACAATAGCAGGGGTAGCTAACAATGACAATGTATATGATAATATGTTATATAACAATAGCAGGGGTAGCTAACAATGACAGGGTATATGATAATATGCTGATTGTTAGACAGACAGACCTGGAGGTGTAATTCATAGATTGTGCTGTTGTTGGTGGTCCTGTTACTGTAGCTCCAATAGTTCCACCAAAAGTAGCACTTCTCCGAGATCCCGTAGTTCCTCCAAATCCTGTACTTCCCCCGGACCCTGTATATATTAAGCATAACATTATTAAAGTAAAGTGCTTTTGATTTCTGAGAAATTGAAATGATTAAATTCTGTACCATCAATGATTTCACTCGGTTGGATTGCAGTCGGCTGTGAACGCTGTGCTGGCTGTGAAACCACAGCAAAAAATCGCGTACTCACAAAATTGAAAGCATAAATATTTTTGTGTTAATTTTTCTCACTTCTCATCGCTGAGCCAAATGAACCATAAATGTTATAATTCTGATTATGGGACGCGTACTACACGTTTTTTCGCTAATCAGTAATTAGCTGTGAACTACATATTCTAAAACTAGCAATAATGACACACCCTCCCTCGTCAGCTGAAGCGACTACTTGTAGAACATCCAGCATGTGACATATTTGCAGACGACTGTCACGGTGGTAGAACATCGGTCATGAGAGTGAGTGACATGATTGGGAAGACTCTTACGTGAAAAATATATTCTTAAAGTGTTACCGTTGACTTTTTAGATGTCAGAGTCTTGTAGTGACCAAGAAGCGAAAGCGAGCATAATTTGTATTATTGTAATAAACTCATACTATCATACACGGAACGAGCGGTCTGTCTAAAGCCCAGCAGCACACTACCCTACAACGCGAAAACGACCAGGAAATTCTAAAATAAATGTGAAATCCGAGACGAGCCGACCCGACCATAGGTTGAGGCACACATTTTTTTCAGGGGAACTATTAATATAAATTTCCACGTTTGTAAGTGTCAATGTTGATGGGCACGATGGAAATGTTTGCGGGAGTTAGGAACTGAAGGATTTACATGATAATTATATGACCCCGTAATATTTTTTTACTTTGTATAGGTTGAAGTCGGCAAATTATCGCCAAACTTTTGTATCAGTCCGACCAGTACGTGAAATGTAGCGTGTAATGTAAAAATCAGGAGTGTTGAACAGGGATTATTTCTGAAATAACACCAAATAATAATGATAAATATAGCTGCATTGCAGCAATGTCGGGTTTCGAGCCCACTGACTTATTAGCAGCGTTCCAAAATCAGCATCATTGACAATAATATATTAAAGGAAATTGTATGGCCTTCATACTAAACATGTTGCATGTTCCTGTCTGTAACAGTGCTTAAGGTATTACAATCTTGCATATTTAATGATGTCCCATGACCATATATGGTCATCGGATGTTTTTGTCAGCTCTGTTGTGCAATAACTTCAATATTGCATTGGTTGCATTTTCCTATCTGTAACAGTGCTTGAGATATTGCAATTTTTATGCATATTTGATGAAGTCACATGACCATATGTGGTCATCAGATTAGTTAGCCACATCTCTTGACCCATACCTTCGATATTGCACAGGTTGCATGTCCCTAACTCTTGCAGTGCTTGATATATTACATTTATGCATATTCAATGAGGTCACATGACCATATATGGTCATCTTGTTTGTTATTAAAATTTCATGTACCATCACTTCAATATTGCACTGGTTGCATGTTCCCGTCTGTAACTGTGCTTGAGTTATTACATTTATGCATATTTGATGAAGTCACATAACCATATATGGTCATCACATTAGTTAGTCACATCTTGTGTCTTATAGCTTCGATATTGCACAGGTTGCATGTCCCTATCTGTAACAGTGCTTGAGTTACTACATTTATTCATATTTGATGAAGTTACATGACCATATATGGTCATCACATTAGTTAGTCACATCTCTTGTATCATAGCTTTGATATTTCATAGGTTGCATGTCTCTATCTGTGATTCTGCTTGAGATATTACAATTATGCATATTTAATGACGTCACATGACCATATACGGTCATCTCATTAGTTACT